ATTCCTGCATACCATAAAATTTTAATTGAGTCAGTTTTAAAGATTCCAGCAGTATCTGTAACACTGCCGTGTGATGATTAATCTTATTATGTTGCGTATAATCACCACACAAAACCTTAAACTTTATGTTAACAGCTAAAGAAAACAGCATCTAGACAAAAATTCTCGGACAAATTTTCAACTGGTGTAAATCAGTATACATCCATAACTTTGATGGAATTAAGATGATCTGCGTCACATTCTATGGATTCCTTCTGCATGTCAGATCTCCCTAGCAAAACCAATTGCAGGCTATATTGGCCGTAGTCAACTTTCAATCGTTACAGTCTGTAAAATACATACGCTCCTTTCAACAGCAAGAAAAAAAAAAAGTATTCCTCCTCCTCCAAATCTTAGAAAGATGCATAGTGGGGTTTGATGTTTTGGAGTGTGTGTGTGTGTTTGGATTGTTTTGTTTTGTTTTGTTTTTTAAAGTATTCAGTATAGTTAGCACCAAATTTGTTTTTTCAGGGACACAATAGACTACATTCTTTGGCACTTCACTCACTCAAACGCAAATTAGTATTTTTAAGTACTTGACATACAGGCTTGTGACTCCTACTTACTTACAAAGAACTTCAAAAGAAATGATGCCCTTGTCCCTTAATGTGATTGGGTTTTGAAAAGGTGCTTTTCATGAGTTCATATCTTTTGAATGATAGCAACACCTGACTTTCAACAGCAGAGGGGAGTTCTTCCAGGGTTACTTCTCAACATAACTGAATAACAGAATATTTCATTGGTGGCCTTTGTGTAATCAACACAGGTTCTTGTCACTTTGATGCTTCAGAGGAAATTAGAAGACATTTTCCTTTCATACCTATTCTCCAGCCAATTTCCTCATCCTTCTGCCTTTTACACATGAGCACCTTTAAGTAGTGTGAATTACACTCTTCCCCCCGCCCCGCTTCATTTTAGGTTTCCTTCCCCAGCCCCCCTACACCTTTATGATACTTTGCCTTCTCATCAGAGAATAGGCAGGAAATTATCCAGTGGCATTTTATATTCATTTTATCATTAGTCACTACTAGTTAATTTATGTATTTATGCAAATTTATGTCTAAAGCAACTGTTCTTTAATCAGTTCACATGTACCGCAAAACTTAGTTTTCCAATAGCAAATTAAATAAAACTCTTTCAGTGATCACTTGCCATATTTGCAGGCAAAGTCCAGTTGTATGAGCATACTTAGATGAACCCACATGAATGTACGTCCGTACAGAAAGCCATCATTCTAGTTATAGAACATTGTCCAAACATAAACATAAAAAACACATTCCTACAAAAAAGCAAAGTTACACAACTTGAGACCAGAGCCTGAAGTGATGATACAAACGCTGTGCTGGCTTACATCTGCACTGAAGGTGGTCCCAACTTGCGTCCACAAACAATACACGTTAGACCCGTCCATCCACAACCAGCACATAGAATAGAAAGGGGATGTCCTTTGCTTGAAAAGTCAAGTTTGGAGGGTGATGCTGCTGATGATAGCAATTCATCCTATCTCAAAGCTCCACCACAGTTGGAGAAAACCAAAAAGTCTTGCCTTTTAACTTTTTTTTTTTTTTTTAAATGCCCTTTTACCTTGAGCATGCGGCATTATGGCAAAGACAAGGGGAGTTAAAAGTGTCTGAGCACAGCGCAGACTAATCACGCTGTCATTCAAAAAGTGACCTAAACCTTTAAATGCCTTTTTGCATGCTGTCGTCATTAAAACACACCGCCTGCTTTCTGATATCAATTGAAACAAAGGAAAACCGGGAGTACCAGGACCCGCCGTACTCGGGTCTGTGGGAGAGCAGCGAGTGCTGCAACAACAGCAGCAGCAGCAGCAACAGCAAGGGAAAAAACCCTCATTTATAACCAGTGACAACTAAAACCTATGAAGTTTTTAAAAGAATGTGATTGTTGTCAAAAGGAATTGGGTACAACAATGCTGCGTTCAGCTCTGGTTCCACTCAAAGCCGTGGCTGAGGGGCTCTGGGAAAGCTGCTGGAAGGCTGGTGGGCACAGACCAGCAAGAAAGTGAATTTTGCATACTGTACGGATCATCGCTCAGTTCAGGGCAGTCATATTGAATCTGTGATCAACCAATTGTGCTTCATGAAACCGTCAGCCCTCATTTATGTCTAGCTGTTTTCTTCTGTCCTGCTGTAAACAAGCTCTGCTCTGAGCTGTCTCCCTACCCTTATCTGCTTACGAAGATCACACAGACAGACCTCATCAGCAGCCTTAGAGTTAAAGTTAAAGTTACTGCTTCCAGACAGCAGTCCCCACGCAAGCTGAAACTCAAAAAGAAGAGCAACTTTGGAATGACAGAGTTTTAGTTCCTTTTAGGAAATGCATACCTTAGATTCATACACATACTGGCATGTTATGTCTCTTTCATGAAATTAAATTAGGTGTTTCTAATATGAACAACTGTTTCTAACATCAGCAAACTAGCTCAGCAGATTCCTCCATGGTTTTGTTTGTGGGTTGGTGGGTTTTTTTTGGTTTGGGGGTTGTGGGTTTGGGTTTGGTTTTTTTTTTTCCTTTGGGGCCTTGTTTGAATACAGCCAAAAGAGAAGTAGCTGGAAATATTGTCAGTCTGGTAGGGCTCCAAGAACCTAATAATGCCTGAAATGCTCTAAGGAGTGTAATGATGGTAAACAGGAACAGGTATGTTGGCTTCTGTTCTCATTCACTTCAGCGAGAGCATTAGCCTTTCAACATAAAGCAGAGCACGGTTTTCAAAGAATGATCCTCTCGCATAAAAAGGGATGGAGCCTTACTAAAAACATATTCCCCTGCAAACGCACACACAAATGCATTAGTCGGTATTTACAGCATTTAATTCTTGCAAACAGCTGCTAAGTCCCTGTTAATGCTTTCCTTTATGCAGCTGGAGCTGGAACCTTTTCCTTTCTGCTAGCCTATTACTTTGTCTATTTAAGGGATGGCAGCCAAAGAGAAACAGCTTGTAATTTGCACCTGTCTGCTTTAAGCCCTCCATGTTAGATTTTGCAGAGAGCAAACTCTTCATTGCTAATGAGAATGACACTTAGTAGGGTCAAACATATTTTTTTAGCTGACTCTGCAGCAATTACAAATAAATAAATAAATACCCACTTCGTTTAAGCCTGTTCTAGCTAGAGAACGAGGCTAAAGGAAAAGCCTTGTCTAAAAAAACACGGCTCAGTGTGTAGGTGGAAGATGTAACCCCACGTGTCTAGTCAAATATAATACTGGGCACAGCTAGCTACAACTGAACCTGTACACTGCCCATGCAGGAGCATACAGGAGAGCTTTTGCCTCTTCCCCTATAAAATTCAGAATTGTTTCAGAAAATGACCACATGCAAAGAATCCTTCTGAATTTCTACATACTGGGCTGCCTTTTGAGGACTCACAGTACGCTTTGCTACCTACAGGGTTAGGCCTATAAGAAAACTGTTCTCTGAGAATTAAAAAGAAATGCATGCTTCATTCCTGATCCAGAGAAGTGCAAGCATTGCCATGCAGAGATGCACTAGCTGGAGCATAGAGCAGTGAAGGTGTACCTCAAGCGAATAACCCACGTGTGATCTTTCAACCTTACATAAACTACTTTAGCATGTTTGCTTCTTGCTAGAAAACAAGCATTGGCGCTTTCAGTCAACTGTGGTATCATTTAAAATTACATTGAAACAAACAACAATTACACTGGCATATTAGTCTAGTTACTAAGAAGTAGTCTTTTTCTTACTTGCTCTTAAAATACAAAAGCCCTAAAAAGCTCAAGCTACAGAGCTGATGACAAGAACAAAAATGCTGGGGGGGAAAAATTAGAAAGGAAATAAAACAAAGTAAAACATACCATTTATTAAAGAAAACATTGGTGCTGCATTTCGATTTCATAAATTGTCCCATTTGTACTTCCTGTTTGAACAATAACTAACATGATGATGGGTTAAATGAAGTTGAGATTGTCACAAACATGGCCTCACTAGTAATTAATGTAGTTTAATATGGTTGTTGGCACACATCTCACATGACAGATAATGTTCCAACATGTCACTGATAGGACCTTTCAGCACAGCTTTAGGAGATCTACCAGGCATTGCCGAGGTTGGTTAGGTCAAAGGGTTGAACCATGTGTAATTCAGAACAGAGGAGGTCCCACGGTCACTCCACAAAAACAATTACACTACTTATTTCACTCCATCCCTTGTCCGAAATTCACAAGCCTCACAGTTTCAGCACAGTCAATCTCGCTCTGCCCCGGGGCTATGAGCCACATGAAAATATGTGGTGCTGTGTTTATAAATCTAATCAAAAATAGAAACAGTAGACAAGCACAATGAGGTCCTACTATGGATCATGGGAATTCTCTAAATTCTGAAGGCACTTTTGTTTAACTTCTGTGGGCCTTCTCCTACCATTACATTGTCTGGTACTCTCGTTAATCATCCCCTTGACTTGTCAATGATATAAAGGAGCCTACATGTCTGCTGACTTCCCTCCCATCACACTACAAATAATATTATGAAATAGCAACGCTAGGAATAGCCCCTTTAATTTTTCTGTTTTAAAGCATGGTTTTTCTTCACTTACCTCATTCTCCATGCCAGCCTGCCCTTTCTCAGACCTGCAGCAGAAAACACTTCCTCCTGCAACAAAAGAAGGAGCGCATCTGAATTTTCAGTCTGCACACAGTCATTAATACCCTTAGGTTTAACACACAGACTTGCAGAGCACCAGCCTAGAAACCTGCCAGGATGGGAGGTCTTTTCCTGCTGCAGTCCCTGCTTCTGCCTTGCCAAAGAGCAAAGGGAGGATTTAGTGCTGTTCCTTCACTTCATCTTTCTGAAAACAACGTTGCATCAGATCACATTAAAAAAAGAGCTTACAAACAAAGATAAATAAGAAAAACACAATTTAAGCTCAGACGAAGTAACGCCAACAAAGGTGTGGTTTAAGTAGAAGTAGCCCAAAAGTGGATAATTCCTACCCATAGGCAATAACTACTAAAATGATGCAGAGTTTGCTATGAAATACACCCAACTTGAAGATTACAGATACAGTACTAAAGCTGCCAGACTCAGGAATGCTGCTGTGATCTGGCATTTAGGTGGGTCTCACTTGTGCCTCACTCCCTGTGCTGGGATTTCCATTAGAAAAATGGGAATTATCCTCTACTCTGAGGTTATAAACATTAAGCAAACATACAATAATTTTGCAAGTTATACATCACATCAGCAAAAATGCCTCGATTTTATACCAGCTATTTTTATCTCTATGTGAAATAACCAAAACAAAACCAAAAACCAAACCACCCACTCGCATTCATTCAAAATGGCTAGATGGGTTGCCTCTGCGCTGACTGAAATAAATGGCAAAGCTCAGCCTGACTCCATAGTCACAGGACCTGAATGGCAATGAATAGCAAGCTTCTTCCTTCGCCAGTTTTTCACTTATGCATATATACAAACACACATACAGATTATTTTGCAGTGCCTGAAAACAAAACAAGACTTTGAACAATTAAAAATATCCCCTCAGAGCCCCTCAGAAGCTTTAATTGACCTTCTAGGTCAGAAGATGCCCTGTACAAAGTACATGTTTGGCCCCAGTTGAGGAAACTCTCTCTCCTGAGGGCACCAGGCAAAGAAGTACTTAATTCTAAGTACGTGCTTAAGTTTCATTGAAATCAATACAATGGACAGTGGACCGGGCCACAAATTCTCCATGGTAAAAGGCTGCATTGTCGCTTTGGTTGCTCAGTAATGAATGAAGGGCTGAGCTTTTGCCCAGGCTTTGCTGACGCTGAGAGTCTGCTGACCTTTGCCATCACTCCTCAGTTTCGGTGCCCTCCTCAAGGTGCCACAGCCATTGCAGCGATGCCGGGGGCTGTGATTCCAGCAATTCTTTGGCCAGCTCTGCCTGAACAGCCCCTGCACCATAGTCCACGGCAGTCACAGAAACCATGCCAAAACTCCTCTCCTCCATAGCACTCTGTGATATTGAAAATAAAACCCCACCAAGATCATACAGGTAGGCTAAGGTTATGTATCTAGTCATCGTATGTCTCAGAAAACAACCCCAGAGTCCCAATTCCAAAATCCAAGGTGGGTTTCCAGGCCAAGGTAGTATCTGCATTGTTTTTCCAGCTGCTGCTCTAATCTGATCACACATCAACTGAACGCAGCAGGTAACTAATTTTGAGTCCGATGGCATGGCACATTCCTTGTTATGGCTTAAACGAGCAGCAAAAAAACAAGAACCTGAAGGAACCAAAAAGAATAAAAGCTTGAAATAACTCCCCTCCTTTTCAAGGTGGAATCACATGAAGCTACCAGCAGAAAGAACTGATAAAGATGTAAATTCAACATTTCCCTTCACGGTCAACTTATGGCTCATTGAAGAGGAGCCAAAGATGCAGCAACAAGGACTTTCAAAGCCACAATAGTCCCAGGAATCCAAACAATGGGAAGACTTTGAGTCTTATCTTAAAGAATGTGATTGACCAAATTAGGAAAGCAAAGAGATATAGAAACAAGGAATTCAGAGGAGACATTAAAAACATTAGTGTCTTAACAGTGATTTTCTTAGAGTTCAGGAACCTCCCTTTTTAGGGGTTTTCTGGGAAATTTGTTTGTTTGTTTGGGTGGGAGACATCTTTGCTGTTTTTTTTAAATTAAGGTGCTAGAGACTGCTTTTCCTTTTTCCTTTTTAATACCAATCAGGCATTGCATTCAACACTGCATTAACTGATGTTGACCGTGGCCTTACTTAACCTCATCAGTCTATTTTCTTTAGCTGTATAACAGCTGAATCATTAGCATTAAACTGGCTTGCAGTCCTGAAAGAGTACAGCAAAACCAAAGTCCATGATTTGTCCATTAATCACAAAACTACATAAAACTTATTTCAGATCCCACCAGATATTTTATTTTATACCCAGCTGATATAACATTCTGCATGATTTAGGGGTGGACTTCAGTTATTTTTAAGTACGTTTGTAGTAAAATGACACAGCAAAACAACCACTTAGAAATTATTAAATTAGATACTTCCACTTCATCTTTTTTCTTTCCACCCCCC